GCAGACTGGATCAAACTGAGGTGGAGATAGAGTCAAACAGCTGAAGAGATTTAGAAAGCACATTGAAAAGTTGCTCTGCTTTGATAAAGATGTGACAGACGTGACTTTTGGAAGGTGAGGCAGATTCGGTTTCAATCATTTTTGCTCCACCAGAGCTAATTACTGGGTTGGAGTTGGTTAATGACAGCATTGAGCATTTGTGCTTTCCAGACACGGATATCAGGGAGTTTGGAGCCAGCACAGGATGTTCAGTTCCGTTACTTGACAGCTGGGAAGGTACATTTCACCTGGGTAAACTCACACCAGCACATCAGGCTGGGTGGGGAAGTCACCCACGGGAAGCTGCAGCAATTTTTAAATTCAGGCAAGAAGAAAAACGCCTCCAGTTTCACTTTTAGCTCCAGCTGCACTGGTGGGTTGTACAGCCCGTGATAACAGACCCTGACCAAAACTGTAAGAGCAATTTCAGGGGAAAAAGCACGACCTAACCAGTTCAGTATTCAGTTTCCTTGTAGGCTGATGGAGTACACAGCCAGCCAGTTTGCACCAGAATAAAATCATCAACTCACTCAATTCCAGCATACGTATCATTAAATTCAGAGCTAGACTTGTCTTGCTAAAGGAAAAATTAAGTTTCCTTCAATCTTAAATGTTGCATGTTGACCATAAGTCTACTACATTTTATATCCCCATGTATGAATTGGTTTGAAATTTATTCTAAGCACAGTAATGCAGTTTATTTTGTATATCAATACCTGTGGTGATGTGTTACAAATTATTAACCTCTCAGTACTTCAAAACTCGAGAACCCAAGGTGAGGAAGGAGGCAATGTATTTTTAGGAACCTAATGATTAACTGCTGCAACTACACACACTCACAAAAAGAAAGTGAGAGCTTTTGTTCTCTTCATAAGCAAAATGTTCCTCAAATACATTGTGGTTATGGCAGGTTAGTTTGCACCTTTGGGTCATTTTCTAGTATTTACCTTAAAAGCTTCCATTAAAATACAATTTCCACTGCACATATTTATGCTCTCTAGTGTTAATGTCTTTTATTTACATCTGCAATTAGCAACGAACTAGAATTAAAAAAAAATAAATATATGAAATAGGTATAACTCCCATGTACAGCAAGTCCTGAAAGCAGCACTTTGCAAACACTGCTGTACAAGGTCACAGCTGCATTATTTACAAATCCTATATCCTGAGTACAGTCATTGCACCCAACCTTTCCTCTGCACAAGACTTTAAACTTCCCATTTCCACTGCAGCTTCTTTTCCCACCTGCCTGGATATCAATACACAAAACTGACAGCTCAAAAGAGTGGGAAATCACTGTTTCAGCTGCGAAGGGTTTCCATTCCCAACATCCCAGAATGCTTCCAACAGCAACAAAAACGCCAAAGACACCTCAGGACAAATGCAAGAGGAACAACAAAGCAGAACGCTGAACTCCCTAGAGAAGGCAGGAACGGGCTTGCCCTTCCAGAGATCTGGAATGCAAATACTTCCATTTGGCTTCACTAGGCCTGGATAATACCACTGGCACCACTCCTGTGCTCTACCCCAATTATTGAAAACCAGTTGTCTCAACGCAAGAAGCCAAATGACATCAGCAGTGCCCATCCAAGGTCAAACTCCACAGTCATCCAGCCACAAACACCCTCGTGCACGCTGACAATCAGCTCCTATGAGTAAGCACTGGACTGGGATTACATCTGCATCCCAGCTGGATAAGTCTCCTTGTCAGCTAATGCTCTGTCCTACATGTTTTGGTATGACAGAGGTGTACAAACTGCTGGAGAACATGATTTTTTTTTCCAAAAGCACCACTTCCAATTTCAAACACCCAGCACACGGACACTGGTCAAATCTGCAGCTCAGCCCCTAAATCACGAGCACAAATTTAAATTCAGGTTGTCCCACTCTCCTTCCCTCCCATCCTGTACTATTACCTTCTCCAATCTTTCAAAGTACTCTCTGATGAATCCCATGGGTCTTTCAGGTCTCACTGTGCATAACTGTACAATACAATCCTTCAGAAGCTGTTGGATGTTGTGTTTTTGGATGTAAAGTTCACACTCCCGAAGGCTACGCTCCTCCTCGCTGCTGCTGCTGCTGGAAGCTGCCATTGCTGAAGGGAAGAGAAAGAGAAAGTTAAATAACTAGTGACAACAAAGATGCTGCTGCCCAGAAGAAAGTTATGCTGTGTTATCCTGCTGATATCACAGCATAAAACTACCTTTACCTGCCAGAGCAGGAACTAAGCTAAACAGTGAAAGAAAAGGCTGGGAACTTATTTAACACCTAGAAAGAAATCCAAAAATCTGGGGGCTCTACAGCCACAGCAGGAAAAGCATTTGCTTGAGCTGAGAAAGCTTCAACAACCCAAGCCCTGTGAGCACTCCAAGCCAGGGAAGGTTCCACCTGAAGTTGCTGCCGCTTAAACTGAGTATCTTGTAGGGCTGGAGGCTCCTGTGTGGGGTCAGGGGGATGGTGGCCAGGGGAGAGGTGGGTGGAAGCAGGAAATCTGAGAGGCCAGAATGGCAACTATTCGGAAGGGAAACATGTTAAGGTTGAAGCCAGAGCCAGTTCTCCAAATGTCAGGGCAGAGCCTTGGCGTAACTAACGGAAGTTACGGAATTAGAAGCATCACTCCTAAAAACCCCCCTCTCCGGTTTAAACGGGTCCCTCCTTCATAACTTATTTCATGGGCACACTGCAATCCCAACAATGCTCTTTCAACTGTAAATAATGAAGAGCATAGCTTAAAACACATCTGTGATGGTGCCAGGCTTTTACAAGACTTTACAGGGGCAGGTGGGACACTTTCAAAAATGTTTGTAGGCAGTTTTTTCCTCCCTTTCAGGGTAGCGGGGGGGGGCTACTGGGGGACTTCTGCTGGATGCTTCCCCCATGTCCCATGGAGCCAAAGATGAAACCAGCCCTGGCCAAGGCCAAGCCCGCCAGTGACAGATGTAGAGCCTCTGGGATGATGTATTTAGGGAGACAGGGGGAAATGGATACTTCAGCTGGAGAAAGGAGTGGGGATACGTGACAGAAACAGCCCTGCAGACCCCAAGGTCAGTGCAGGAGGGGCAGAAGGTGCTCCAGAGGCTTGAGACGGGCCAGGAGTAAAGTTAAGGCTGGGAAGAAGGAAGGAGGGCAGGAAGGTGTTTGTAAGATCTGGCTTTATTTCTCATTATCCTACCCCAATTTGATTGGTTTAATTTATCACCAACTTCCCCAAGTCGAGTCTGTTTTGCCTGTGATGGCAATTGGTGACTTATCTCAATCCACGAGCCTTTCCTTATGTTTTCCTTCCCTTGTCCAGTTGAGGAGGGGAGTGATGGAGCAGCTTTGCCGGGCACTTAGTGTCTAGCCCAGATCAACCAGCCACAAGGTGACAGAACCATTTACATATACATATATGTGTAAATATACATATATACACATACAGATATTTCATGTAATTTTTTCTTTCATAAGGGAATTAGCACTGTGAGATCTAAAGAAACGGGAAAGAACTTCTCAGGGCATTTTTGATGAAATATAAAGGAAGTTACCTGGTACAGGGACCGTGGCAGCAGCTTATTAATACACAGTAGGATATGTTGATCCCGGGATCAGCTTTTGAAAGGGGGAAAAAAAAGGGATTCAGTAAAAACATCTTTCAGAAATGACAAGTCACTGAAGTCACGTCATGGGTTTTATCCTGCTGAGGCAGCAGCAGAGAAACCCAGGGCACAGAGGCAACACAAGGCTATGCCCCTGCGAATTCTGCTGCTGGAGATTAGGGAGTTAACTCCGAACTGCCAACACTTCGGACAGGTTTCATTCCTGTCACGCCTAATCCCTGCTCAAGCACACACACACACGTGCATTTTGTGTTGCATAAACACCAAAAGCGTGGCCTTCGCAGGGGCTGAGAAAGCGCCCAAGAAAAAAAAAAAAAACTTCTCCAGCGGCCCCTTTTGCTCCGCAGCCCCGCACCGAGGGTCAGCGCCAATTAAACAGCCCCGGGGGGACACCCTGCGTGCAGCACACGAGCCGGGCGACCCCGGCACGGAAAACAAAATGTCACGGGCACGGTGAAACCTCCAGTGTTTCC